ATGTCTTTTCCCAGACCCAAATTGGCCACTGCGATAAGGGTCAGTATATACACAGCCTTGTTGAAAAAGGCGAAATAAGGGTTACACACAGACAACCGACAAGGCAGAAAGAGGAATGACCAGTGCCTGAACGAATTAGCTCGCCTCAACTGCACAAAGCCAAGGTTTCTCACCATCGTTACGATCATCGCTAAATCATCTATCCCAAATTGACCACCACAGCATGGCAGCCTCGCGATCATGCGCAAAACAAATGCAATGAGTGCCAAAACGCCTCCAACTACCCCGGTAATGGAGACCGCGCCGGTCCGGTCTCGAATCGGTACTCCACAAGCCGATGAAGTCACATTTTTCGTAGCTGATCCAGTCAGTCATTCGAACGCTCTGAGCCTACGGGCATGGACTTACCTAAAGACTCCCGAATGGTACAATTTGCTTTCACACATGTTTCGAGTGTGCTGGTAAAGACCGGATCCGTACACATACACGTTTGGTCTGTGATGGTGCAGTGTGAATGGGGGAGCGTTGACACAATGCATTGCAGCTAGATATATCAGTATGCTTCCTCCAAAGCCGATGACATATCGGTGTTAACTTACTGCGCATGAGGGCAAAGCTCCCGCCAGCTTCTCCATGTTGTTGGCAGTGACATAGCCAGCCCATGAAAGAAGGACAAGGAGAATTCCGAGCACCTTCATTCTGCTAAATGCGTATGCTTGGAATAGACACCTGGGGGTGAATCGAACAACATGCGAGTCTTCCAACTACAACGAGATAAAAGAGAAAACCCCAAGCATAAAGAGAGTCCCCTTGATACATTCCTGCTGTAACTCCTGCTGGCAAGCGTCGCGCGCGTCAATCGGTGACAGCCCGACAACCACAAATCTGGAAAGCTATGGATCACCCTGCGATCGCTTTTCACCCCTGCTCCTATGCAGCACACTAGTTTGGCATGTCGCCAGGGCTTTGTCATGGCGGCAAGTTCTAACAAATCGTCCAAACCTCCTGGTGACTATGAGGATTTGCAAAAGCTCTGGCGGTTGCGCTGATTGGGCGTCTCACCTGCTGATCCGAAAGTTCTGGATCCCCTTAAACGCCGCAGACTCCTTGGCCATGCAAATCGAGGGAGACCTAACGGCTCCAGGACGAGGATACACAATACAATGCAGTAGGACCGTACTGTTACACGACATGGTCAATGCTGTGGGACCGTACTGTTACACAACATGAACTTTAAGCAAAGCACAAACCAGCTTTTCCGTGTTCTCAAAAGGGTAAGCATTTAACAGGCACGGACCGTAGTATCTTGCCCCTTTCGGCTTCCACTTTCCATATATCTGAATTGTCAGGATAACAACAGGAGGACAAGCAATAAGGGATCGTCTAACGGTGTCGAGTCAGGGTCAATTACTTGAGGGCTTACGTACTATTACGATCGGCACCATGCATGGCAGTTACCCAAGAGTGGTGTTACTGCAAAGACTTCAACGTTGGCTTCTTCGAGCTCATCTGAGAGAGAAGCTGGTTTACTCAGGCCCTGCCCAGCACCTGAGGGCCGGCCCATCAAGCATTTTGATGTTTGTCTTAATTGGTATTTGAGAGGGACGCGAATGTCAGGTCTAGATGAACTCCATTGCTAGCAAGCTGGTTACAGATAGACGCATACTCCAAATCATACACACTTTCGTGAGCAAATGGGCATGGCATGCAAAGGGCCTGAATCCAAAGCAGATTTTAACTCTGCACTAAAGCCCTATCTTTGTCAGTGTGGCACTTTTGGGCGACAGCTTTGATAGCAAACCGTTCTGGATATCACCAAGCTGTCCACTTGCCAGAGCTGGATTCTTCTCCGTGCTGTCATTTATTGCCAAAACTCCTGATTGGGTCATCTGATTTTTGTTAGAAGCCGCAATGGAGCCCAGATGTACCCTGCCAAGACTAGGCGCGGGGGTCGCTCGTGTTCGGTTCGGACTTACTTCGGAATTCAAGATACGCCTTGTGGAAGGTATATATGCTGATCTTTGGTAGGAACATAAGCGAAGAGGGTCGGTTTCTTGAACGGGTCTGATCGACGTTGGCCGGCTTGTCGCCGTGGGATATCTGAGACACCCGGCGGTGGGACTACCGCCGCTTTAGGTAACGGCAAATGATACTACATAAAATCATGCCGTTTCCTGTGACTAGAACGGAAAAGACGCGACTCGAGAGTAAATAGGGTTCAAGGGAGGTGTTTCCGGGGTGTCTTCCTTGTCTGTTGTTGTTCTAGTCTTCTAGAGCTACAGTGTCTAGTTACCGTGTTGAAATTAGCATGAGACCCGCATGTTATTTTAGGCTATAAACTTATTCTATTGGCATGTGGAACCCTGTACGTTTACATGATTACCCCTTGCCTTGGGTTCCTGCTAGTTGCTACCCTGTTTATGTCGTTTAGAACCATCAGAGGCGGATTTGCCCTGTAGTAGAATTAGGAACTCAGTGCGAGCACTTCATATTCAGCTCGAATTGGGGCAAGGTGATTAGTAAACGGTATAGCGATCGCCGTCAAAATACTGAATCTCCAGGGACATATCCTCGGTTATGTCACTGAATATCAACTGTTGTGCTTCTCATCGTCCATTTTTATAGAGGCAATTCCCGTTTTCCTTGACGAGAGTGGTCCAGCCGGTGCTTTACTGTCACTTCCTCTGGAGAGATTCTTCGGCTGCCAATACTTTTTGTGGCCGTAAGACCTATTTTCCAGGATGAAGGCGTTTATTTCCTTGGCCATTCTGGGTCTGGGTTCCCTCGCCTCAGGATTTCCTGATCGTATGGGAGGAGCTGCTCATAAGAACTGCCCATACGCCGCGCTGAAAGAGAAAGAAGATCCAGAGCTGAGAAGGCGATTCCTGGTGGACTCGATGTCCAAACCCATTGATGGTATATTCCGTCCTTATCCCCGTTGGACTATGAGGGCGTAAAAATGGTGTTAATAGAGGAACAGTGACCGGCCTACACGCGTTCCAGCCCCCGGATTTCAAAAGAGGAGACCAACGGGGTCCTTGTCCTGCGTTGAATGCACTGGCGAATCACGGTTATATCCCTCGCAGTGGTGTTGTGTCGGTACGTGATATTACCCGAAGCAAGAAGCTCTGGCCCTGACACGAAAGCAGTTTGTGGAGGTCATTGCGGCCGTCAACAAAGGTACGGATATCTCTAGGACATGTGTTGCTTGGGCCTAGCCCGCTGACCTTTGCAGTGTATGGAATGGGAGTGGACCTGACCACCATCCTCGCAATGATGGGACTCGTGTGGACGGGCAATCCACTTGCTCTCGTCCCCAGCTTTTCTATCGGAGGTCGCGATACTGGAGTGAACAATCTGCTGAACAATCTGGGGGGTCTCCTTGGTGCGCTCCCAGTTCCACCGCGAACGAAAATCCTCCGACTAATTCATTTCAGGGGAGCCCCAGGGTCTTATCGGTTCGCACAACTTTATCGAGGCCGATTCCTCCAACACGCGGGACGATTTGTATGTCACTGGAAACAACTACGCGCTGAACATGGACAAGTTCATGGAATGGTACAACATGTCAACGGACGGGACATTTAGCATGGATCTGATGGCTGAGCGGGCCAAAATCCGCTTTGAGCAAAGCGTTCAGACGAACCCGGAATTCTATTACGGGCCAGTGACAGGTCTCATCTCTCGGAATGCTGGTTATATGTTTCCTGGGCGACTGTTCCGGAATCATTCGCGCGAGAACCCAGAGGGTGTTTTGAGTAAGGATTAATCGCCCAGAAGGTGAATGCAAAACTGACAAGCAAGTAGCCAAGGAGATTGTTCGCAGCTTTTACGGCATTTACGGAGAGGAAGGAAACCTGACGTACCGCGAAGGATGGGAAAGGATTCCTGAGAATTGGTACAAGTCTCCGTTAGATTATGGCCTGGTGCAGCTGAATCTCGACTTAGCGGACTGGATACTCAAACATCCGGAACTTGCAAGGTCAGTCTCTTGCTCCTGTCGACTCTGTCGCCCCCCACGCCGCTCATCATGGATCATCTAGTATCGGGGGAAATACCGGCACGGTCAACAGCTTCGCCGGGGTAAATCTCGCCGATGTAACGGGCGGCGTCCTGAACCTCACCACCCTCTTGGATGGAAATAATCTGCTGTGCTTCGTTTTTGAAGTGCTCAAGTTTTCCGGTCCTAATGCTTTGGCTGGTCTTTACAAGACCCTGGCAGTCCCGTTGGACATGATCAACAAGATCATCGCCGTCCCACTCCTGAACATGTCGTGTCCGGCGTTCAAGGACCTGCAGATGGGCGGTAGGCCACTCTGGGATGCCATCAAAGATGATTTCCCCGGTGCCATGAAGAGTGGTGGTGCCCTGTGATGGTGGGTATTTCTTCATCCGCCATACTACTTCAGGGTTACTTTTCATGTTCGATTGTATACTATCCTGTGCTGTTCCATGCATTCGTCAGCTCATATGTGCGTTAACCTGAGCTGAACAACTAACTGGATCATAATACACAGCTGTTGTCAATATCCATGCGCATTCAAATTGGATAGAGAGTGAATCAGAAGGAAGCATAATTGCACATGTTGATCCCGCAAGAGCCCTAATATAGTCTCATGCTGCATCCCATCCCGTCCTCTTGCGATTGGTGGAAATATCCTTGGATTCGTCATGATCTCCGCTATGGAGATGCCGCAAGTCTCGTCGAGTAGATGGCATGTTTCCTATAGACCAGCCACGGAGAAAGCCTTGGCCATTGATCGTTGCTGGATTCGTCACGTTCCTCGGCAACAGATCTGCTGGGAAATACTGTGCAGTAAACACCATCGCACCGGGTGCGGGCAAGGTGGAGAATTAATATCCTGCCAAGAGGTTCATGAATATACTTTTCCCCTGAGTTACACTTTAGTTGACAAAGTTTATAATTACAAAAAGCCGAGATTCCTCGTACTTGTCCGTCGCGTGGCTACTGTGCAGCTCATCACTCTGACCCTCGCAACATGGCCTTTCTTCTCACTCTCGCCACTCTCGGAGGCCTCGCCCAGGGAGCCGTGATTCCACGAGCGAGCATCGACAGTGATGCGGTGGTAGGATTCCCCCAGACGGTCCCCAGCGGTACTACCGGAAAGGTCTACCTTGCCTATCAGCCGTACCTCAAGGTGGTCAACGGCTGTGTTCCCTTCCCAGCGGTCGATGCAGAGGGCAACACCAAGTAAGCTGGCCCATGGTACGACTCAATGTTCTGTTGAAGCTAATATCAACAGCGCTGGCCTGGCCCCGACAGGAGCATCCAACGGTGACTGCGCCAGCAGCACCGGCCAGATCTACGTGCGCGGGGCCGCGTATGGCAATCACTACGCCCTCATGTACTCGTGGTATTTCCCCAAGGACGAGCCCTCGACTGGGCTCGGACATCGCCATGACTGGGAGGGAGTCATTGTCTGGCTCTCATCGTCCACGTCCACCTCGGCTGACAACGTTGTCGCCGTGTGTCCGTCCGCCCATGGTGGCTGGGACTGCTCGACAGGTGGATTCACACTCAGCGGCACCAAGCCTCTCATTAAGTACTACAGCACCTGGCCGGTGGATCACCAGTGTGGCCTCACCTCGACTGTGGGAGGCACACAGCCCTTGATCGCCTGGGAGAGTCTGCCAACTGTAGCCCAGACGGCACTGGAGAGCACCGATTTTGGTGCTGCCAATGTGCCTTTCAAGAATGCTAACTTTGACTCCAACCTGGCCAAGGCGACCTTTTGAGAGAGTTAGCGCGACAAAAATGGTCGGGCAATTCCGCCTCTGTTTTGCTGCCCAATGTCTGCAATTGTGTCTGAAAAGGAGCATGCAAGTGCGCTGTTGGTTTCCCACCTTTTACTAAGCGGAAGTTGCAAGCGCCGGTAATGTTTGCGTCCATATCATCCTCAAATCAGATAGAAGCACACTTTCATCATCGCGCATTCTCATGTAGGGTTGTCTGGCTTTAATCCCTGTGAACCACAACTTATCGGACTTTGTAGAAGCCGAAAGCCGAGTGGGATCATGAGACTCTCGATGACATGAATCAGGTCGCTCCCTGCTTGGTCATGTTTCTGCTCCTCACCGGTTGATCGACACTTCATCAGGCCAATAATATCCGCCGTTGAAGGCAAGCCCTAATTAAAAATCAATCAGAGATAGAAGCCCCCACTGCTTCGGCGCGGACGATCAATCAGTATCGTCCAACCCCAGAAAGGGAGGAGCAAGCAACATTCTTCTGGGCCAGGGATGAAGAGTGAAGAAGAGACGACCGACATATAAATACCCGTTAGCTCGATCACGCCATCAGCCAGCTGGATGTAGCCATCATCTTGAACTCTCATTGATCCTTTCTCACGTACTGCTATACTGCCAATCGTCAATCTAGTTAGTTACCCATCATGGCTGACGTCAACAAATCGCCGTCTCAGTCCCGCCTGCTCCTCATCAGTGTCCCTCGCACGGCATCAAATCTCATGCTCAAAATCCTCAATCTTCCTGGTCAGAAGTTGGTCACCAACGAGAAAGGAGGCTATTTCTTTTTCAACGCCTTTATCAAGGTCGACAACAATGGCCGCATAACTTTACCCCTAGAAGAGCGGAGCGAAGCCCAGAAGCAGGAAATCCGCGATGCCCTCCAGGAAGCTGTCGATGGTCTCGAGGACTGTGCTCAGCGAGCAGAGCAAGAGGGGAAGATTGCATTCGCCAAAGAGCACGCCTTCTGGCTCACCAATCCAGCCGTGTTGGGAAATCAGGCCGAACAGGCCGCCAGCTTCCGACTGCGAATTCCCGACAAGTACGGTCCCTCGCAAACATTCTCCCCTCTCAATCATACTGTGCTGCCTGACGAATACCTGCGGACGTGGAGATTGACCTTCGTCATTCGTCACCCAGCCTTGGCTTTCCCATCTCTGTGCCGTGCCATGCAGAAATTCCGGCAAGGCGGCATTATGCAGAGGGAGGACACCGTTGGGTCAATGAAAACCACACTGACGTTGACATGGACGCGAATGCTCTACGACTGGTGCCTGGAGCAGCCTGATCTCCCCGGAAAGCCCCTGGTAGTAGATGCGCAGGATATCATCCACAATCCGCAGGTGATGGTCCAGTACTGCGAAGAGACTGGCCTTGACCCAAGTGCGTTGCAGTTTGAATGGGAGAGTAAACAAGAAGTCCTGGACAGGCAAACAATGGGACCTGATTCCCAAAGTCAGCAAAAGTCTGATGTGGACTTGGCTAAAGCTGAGGCGGTCATGCTCTCGACCCTGTTGGGGTCCACGGGTGTCATCAAGGACAAAACCCCGACCGTGGTAGATGTAACAGCCGAGGCCAAGCAGTGGAAAGAGGAATTTGGAGAGGAACTGGCCTATATGCTGGAGACGACGGTGCGCGATGCCATGCCCGACTATGAATATCTCCGAAGTCGACGCATTACTGTCTGATCAAGGGCTCGGCAAGACCAGGTCGGATTGTCTGCTGTGTCCATCGTGAAGCTTGGACTTGTATTAGGAGAAACTTGACATTTTTTTTTAGAATTTGTGCATGTGTAACCAATTAATTATTGACTTCCCCAAATGGGCGCTATGTTGAACATCGACTAAAAAGAGATACTTCTAACCACTTTGACCGCGGAGATGATTCCGGGTAAATGAAACGCTCCATGCGGGTTTCAACCCCGCAGAGACGTGGTACGGAGAGACGAGTCAAAGCCAGCTGGCGTAAGCCGATCAATATGAGGGTTCGAACACACGAAGATATCACGATATGCCTTGTAGATGCTTGGTTGACCCAAGTGCGGGAGCAGAAACATGAGACCACTGCAGCGGATTGCCATCATTCTCACCTGTTTGTTCCTTGTATTTCTGGTTCTAAGGCTTCGAATCGGAGGAATTACCCCTGGCAGCCCCGCGACTCAATCTTTTCCTCGAGTGAACGGGTCACAGCAGCATTCATTCAGCAATCTGTCATTGTCTCACGCCCAATGTGTGGCCGCTTTTCCTGGTCTATTCAGCGAAATCGAGGATGCTGTTTCTCGCGGACCTTTCACTCTCACATGGTCACGACTAGGAGAGCCCTTGCAGGGAAGCGTCAAGGACAATCAGGTAGGCCTGCAGGTCATACGCAGTTGGATTTTACTGACCGCAGGGCTACAGTTGTACATCTTAAACTGGCAGAAGAAGGCATTTCTATCAGAGCAGATGCTCAATGTAACTCCTCATCCTGGCCAATTGAATAGACGTGCACATAACGCTTTCCCAGGAACGGACAGCAGCTCTGAACCAGCTCTACCGCGCAATCATCACTTCCCCAGAGCCGCTGCCAGACACTCTTTTCGTCTTGAATATCCAGGATCGGCCGATAGCACAATCATGGTCATACGCGCGTCCAGCCGATCCCGCAGCCACCAAGGCCGGGGACTTCCCCATGCCGCACTTTGCCTTTTGGGCATGGCCGCTTAAGTATATCGGATCCATGGATCGGGCACTAATCGCGATCGCCGAGATCGAAGCAAATTGTACATTCCACGCTAAGATTCCACAAGCTGTCTGGCGCGGCACACCTTGGTTCAACGACGTGCAAAATCACGATCTCCGCAAGCGACTAATTCAGGTCACCACGGGGAAACCGTGGGCGGACGTACAAGCCTTGGAATGGGAAACCAACGGCGAGACGGCCAGGAACGGGCTGGCCATTGAGGACTTCTGTCGGTACAAGTACATCATTTACACAGAGGGGGTAACCTACTCTGGACGGCTGCCCTTCCATCAGGCTTGCCGCTCCATCATTCTCACGCCGCCCATGGCATGGATGCTGCACACCACACATCTCGTGCGACCAGTCTTTTCGAGCACATTATTGCAGACAGAGCCCAGACTGGGACCTCCGCATCAGTCGGATCGCATCAAGCGAGCCTGGCCAACTGATCTTGACGCCGGGGATGCCAATCTGGTGATGGTCTCACCAGACTGGTCCGATCTCGAGGCTACCATCGCATGGTTGGAGGATCATCCGATAATAGCGCAGGGCATCGCTAATCGACAGCGTGAGTTGTTTTATGACGGAGGATATCTTAGCCCTGCCGCCGAGACGTGCTACTGGAGAGCATTGATCAGGGGCTGGAGCAAGGTTGTTGAGCCCGAGGGTAGGGAGTGGACTGAACACAAGGGCGTCAGATGGGAGCTCTTTAGTCTTGGAGGATTCTAATAGAAGGGGCTGCGAGAGGCATTCTTGACGCCACGAAATGACTGTATCCAGGCCTGAGCTGTCAACGTCGTCGGTGCGGGAAAGGAAGATAGTCCAGGCTCATGTTAATGATGTGACAAACATCGCCTGCATTGTCGATATGCCAACTGTACTTTGCAAGAATATGTCATCAGTGGTGGCATCTTATACGTTGTTGACAAGTATGTGTTGGAGCTATTATGTTGAGCTTTGCGTCCGGAGCTTTTATTGGCCTTTTCTAGCACCCTTCTTAAGATGGGCTACCGGCTGGGCGTCGTCTTCCTCACCGTCTTGATCCCTGCCCTCGCCATGGCGCCTATCGGTGGAGCCATTCCGCAAAATTGGGCCTACAGCTGACTGGACATGAAGGCCTTTGGCGGCGTCCTATGTCTCACAGGATCTGTCATCGTTCTGCGATCTAAGTGGCTCTACGCAGGGAAGGAACCTCTCAAGGTGTTTTGAGTGTGGAGGTGGCACACTCCATAGTGTGCAGGGAGGAGCATGTAAAAGATCTGGCTTAGAACCAAGTTTATACAGTCCCAGGCTGCAGGGGTATTGGAGCATCAATAACAACCATAATAATAGACCTTTTCAGAGTAGATTGTCGGACAGGCAAGTACTCATTGACTGCATATCATCAGGGCGGTACGCCGGTTCCAAGATATTCCTCGTGGGACACGGACACCGCATGCCAATTTAAAGTGTGATAGCAAGGTTTCAGACAGCAAGCAAGGCGAACAGCCAGCCAATAGCGAAGCATCAGTGATATGCAAGGACTTAGTCTCATCTATAAACCCTTCTGAACCAAGGTCCTGCTTGGTAGCGGCGCCAATCAGTCGACCATGAACGGCGGTTGGCGTGGGCACGGAGCACCTGACAAAAACACAGTTCTGCCAATAGACTTTTTGCGGCTTGCCACCCAAAAAAATTGCAATAAAATATATTAAAAAAGAGAAAAAAGAAAAGGAAAAAAGGGTGAACCGAATGTCACATAGATGAACGAATAAATAAAACAATCAGCATGGAAAAAGGACTGCTGATGATACAAACATAAGTATTCCTCCTTCAATTAGTATACCAAACATTTCCGTGGATAACCGTCCAAGATTATTATAAGTAGCGTCATCGCAGAAAGCCACCTGGAGCTTCCTGCCCTACGCAGATCTTGGACCATGCTTTCAAAACGTTAAATAACTGTATTCAGATGGCCTGGACCTCTGCCCCGCCGGACGAACCACGGCTCCACATAAGATGCAGCACACCAACGATGAACCAGACCGACTCATCACCCAAGAGCAAGCCGTTGATCCACGTCTTTTGAGAGACCAATAAGATAAAGACCCTGACTCTGACCGCGCCGAAGATAATGCTTGGTATCCTATTTATACTGTTGTCCATTCCAGTCACTCTTTCGGGGAGAGATGATGGCAGGACGTCAAACGCCGATAAATCTGTGAGGGGTCCACATCTGTATACAGGATGGCAAAATATCCTGGAGACGCTCCAATTTTGTTGGTTTCGAATGACGTCCATGAGGTTAGCGAGAAGCCAACCCCATGGCTGCAGACCGCGAATGAAGTGATTATTGCAGTTGGGCTGGCGATCAGTACCGGTTTCCTTATTATGCGGATATACACCAGGGCCTATGTTATGAAGAAGTTTGGATGGGATGACGGTATGTTATGGCGCCAACAATTCAGCACCTTCTTAGAGTTGAGATGAACTAAGATAAACACAACACCACTAGTACTCCTAATAATGGCCTGGGTAAGTCACTGATTGATGGGTAGCGACTGCTCATTATGAGAACCGCACATGCTTACCTGGGTTAAATAGGTATTTTCAGTTGGGACACAGGCAATAATTATAAGTGCGGAACCCAGCTAAAATGAGAAAGCTTTGACGGACACTGCAGCTAAGGAGACCTCTTTTAGATGCTTATGCTCATGCCGGTCTGGGTGTTCATATAGCGGAGTTACCAGTATCGACAATACAAACCTATCAGAAGGTATGGCCATGACTTATTATGCTGAAAATTCCGCGATGGTCTTGGTAAAGTACTACTACTTATATGCTGAGTACAGTGCGTCCTTGCTACTTCTACTATCTATATTTTCGCTCTTGCATTTGCCAAACTGGCTTTGCTGGGGCTTTATTATCGGCTGCTGCATATATCTCCAATTTGGAGATATATAATCTACACAGTGATTTTCATCATTGCTGGTTACAGCATTGCGCTTGCCCTAGCCCTGATATTTGCCTGTCATCCTATCCAGAAGGCATGGGATGTTTCCATCACTACAGGTTCGTGTATTAATCGTCAGGGTGCCTATCTAGCAACTGCTTGCACAAACACCGCCAGTGATATCGCTTTGATCATCATACCGATCCCGGTTGTATGGAACTTGAAGATGCCGCTCGGTCAAAGGTTGGCGGTCATTGGCATGTTCAGTATTGGGTGTCTGTAAGCCATCCCTTCTATTCTCGGGTTACTCAGTCTGTTCGCCCCTCACTTTCTCAATAGGACAATAATTACAAGCATTGTCCGCTTGGCAACTCTATGGCCGTTAGTAACCTCAAAAGACCCGACCTATGAGGTTGGACTTGCAGGTATATTCATGTGAGTTGTTCAAACTGCCATCGGCACCCTTACAACTGGTAGAGAAGGTTATTGATATTCTACATAATTTGCAGCGGCATCGAGGCCAATTTTATAATTATTTGTCCCTGTCTTCCCTTCCTACGCCAATTTTTTCGTCATCACTCTCCTAGATGGTTCCGCGATCCTGATAGCAGCCAACAGGGCCGGACACAGGGCCACACTTCAGCAGCCTCACCAATGAAGCCTAGCACACCTACTTGTGTTCGGCGTCAGGATGATATTGAGATGGCTATAAATGTGGGAGGTGCATTGTGAGTTGTTAGCAACAAAGAAGATGTGGATAATGCAAAACTCGCAGACAGATCACTGCCGCATCCTGCGGCCACATGATGACCAAAACCTATTCTAATACTCTAGGTCTATTGATTTGCTGTGTAGGAAGCCTATCCCATAATGGGTGGAAGTCTATAGTTACTTGTATACCCTAGTACATAACCAAAGGGTAAGGTTGCCTTTAATACCCTGCTATTAGCTGCTGGTATGTCCTCCTAATTCTATACGTATATTGCCCTATAATAGCAGCTAGAACATACCTGAGGTGTCTGTATTACTTATCTATAAGGATGGACTGTCATCTGAGTTAACTAGAGGGGCAAGCTCTTTTCTCCTAGCTATATAGTTGACCACGCTAATACAGATGTAGACTTAAGTTTATTATTTAAGCTATCACTAGATTGCTGTTAGGCAATAAAGAAATGGATTAAGAATGCTAATGAATCACTCCCAACAGTGTAAACTACAACGTCCATTTCACTTTATAAATTAATGTCCACACCATAACTCATAATCCTGCAACTCCACCGCTAGATCTTGCATATTGCCGTATTTTCTAGTCCTCCAATCAACCAGACCCTTCTCTAATCCTTTTGTAAATCCCTCGTCATACTTCATTCCTTCATCCGAATTCTCTAGTTTAGTCATCCTCCAACATGCCCAATCACTGGCCATGACACCCTCCGATGCACGTAACAAACCCATCGCAATACCAACAATACCTGGCTGACTCGTGTGTCTACGAAACACAGTTGCACCGCAAGTCCCACAGAACGAACCTAGAGCCCCTTCGCTGGACACATAGCTTTTCAAAGACCCTATCAGAAGATCTTCTGGTAGCGACGGTGAGATATGGTCCGTCGGAACCAATATCCACGCAATCGCGTGGGTACCAGTGAGCAGGCGACAGTCCCTACAGACGTCGACAAGCGCAGGCCACTTCGACATATCGGATGGATGCACCCATTTACGGCCTGCAGGGCCGACCAGGTAGTCCCTGTGAGGACGGGATATGGTCATCGAGACGCCACCACAGTGGCATTGGGCAAGGAGTTGATCGTCCTCACTCGCCGGAACCACCGGCAATTCCTCGGACGCCGGACTCTCCTGCGGATTCCACACCTTAATCATCTGGCCCCTGATCTGAGGAATGAGTTCAGACATGCCACCATCCCGTGTGGAGTTTGTGAAAGCATGCGAGCCAATTTCCCACATCCCCTCGTTAGCATTGGCGTCGAATACCGAAATGGAGATGTACCAATCTCCGTCGTCATGGCTACGGTCACCGATGTGACAGCCGCAATTAGTGCAAAAATACCGCGTTGATTCTGAATATGGATGCGCATAGCCGGTTAATTTCTCGAGTCTGGAAGGCGCGATGAACTGCGGTTCGACCCCGGACGGAACATGGGAGTGGAATGAGCAGAGAGCTCCGTGGGTTTGGCGGCAGATGGAGCAGTGGCAGACATGCACCTTGAGTGGTAGGTCACCTTTGGGTATAGTGAGAGAGAAATTTGCGTTGCCGCAGTGGCAGGATGCCGTTAGGGTCTTAGATTCTGGGGCTGCCATCTGTCTATCAGCCTCGATGGAGGGGACGTCTCATTGAAGACGGCGACCAGGAGACAGGTGTTGATAAGTAGACAATCCTCGATATATAAGTGTGTAACCAGCTGAGGGGCAGATGATGGAACGCCTTAGGCAGAAGTAGGCAGGAAAAAGTTAATTTTAAAGCTGTTATGATCCAGAGGAAGATTGATTGTGCTCCATTCCTTCTGTAGACCTCCTGAGGGTTATAAACAATATGAATATCAGGCTAATTAGAAATCAATCATACAGGATTTAGTCTGTCAGAACCTCTAATGGTATACCTGGTTACAATTCACAACATTCCCTCTCAAGGTCACTGGGCAGTCAGATCACTTGACCCATTTTAAGCGCCTTTGGCTCTATCACAACCTTGAGCTCGTATTCTAAGTTGAATTTTTGAAGGGCACCACCAATCACCGCGGATGCCACGTATTCTGTGCTTGGCGGGATAACGGTCGACATAAAGGGGGGTAATTTATTAGGGTCGCCTCACTAGGACTATTGTAGTGATTAGTAGGTTCGCGATTACTCTACGGAAGAGGACTAATAGAGGTGGCCAAGGTAAGTCATCACTGTGAGGAAATTGTCAACCATGTCAGGAATTAATTGCAGCATGTTCTATAGGACTTTTGTAAGGTGGACACAATGCAGTTGTAGACTAAAGTGTGGATACTTCCACTGCCTCCTAGATTCCACCATGCGTTGCGTGAACAGAACAGACCTGAGATAAGCTTGCAACCCTGGTCTTCAAAGAGCAACCTGCTGAATGTACACCTCACTTGAACTCGACTCTACAATCATTTTCCACAGGACGGTCATATTCTGCCGATATCGGATCTTGATGTGTTAGATGTACAACCCAAGGTTGCTTGTCTAGAAAGGGAACACCAGGGAAGTAATCCGCAAATTCTTAGCCGCCGATGGTTTCGGCTACGACAAAGCTTATCAGCTCGACTCGCCGAATATCGCTTCTCGCTAGCTTGAGGATATACAGAGCTTGGATTTACTGATAAGAGGTTATCTAAGATCCGGGGAAACAAGCCCTATCTTGCATCGTCTCTCAATAGGGTAAGTGGCCTCATCCTTTTGTAGCCCCAGCCCGAGAATCAGGACCCTGTGCCACCACGACCACCAAATTACCACAAGATAAGGTTTCGTACACTCATTTCACAGCATCAGTCTTTCCCTGGACATAACACCAACTCTCCAATGGATCTATAACTACCATGCGTCTGCTTGTGGCGGCTTTTGACGACTACGTTTCTCCGTTCCTCTTAAACCCAATTGTCGTTCGATATCCCACATTCTGCAACCTTGGAGCATCAAAAACATGCATGATCCTCCTGGTACGGCGATATTTGATGTCGCTGGGGGACCTAAACGGAATATAATAGCCCGATACCCTCATATGACCCAAATGAGTCGCTGGTATGCCTGTCATGGGCAGCCTGCATTTGACGTCCTTGAGCTGACAGGAGCTGTGAAGAACTGGAACATAAAACGCAAGGCTGTGCGATTCACTATTTTGGAGCTCTGGGGTTTTTGCTCACGTTTGCTACGTAAACACATACCCCTGTCCCAAAAGACAGTCTTGCTAGGAGCTGCAGTCGCTGAGCTTTATTGGTATAGAATGTGCAGCACCGTCCCCTGCTGGGGATCTGCGGACACGGACCTCAGTTTCATCTATGACCACTTGAAAAACAGATATGCATGCAGGTGGCGGGTCTTTCCCTTGGGGCTATGCTGCTCATCCCACCGGCGATCCAATGTGGCGTTCGGCCAGTTCGCATTATAACTTCCTGCACGACTTTGTCAGAGCGGTCTGGCAAGCCACGATGGCAATTTTGCGTCAGTGGTATGAGATAAACATGATACTGGGACTTGCAGGCTGTGTCAACGAAGCTCTCATGCCTATGGCGGAAAATTCCTTGCTTTCATCGGATAGTTTTGAATTTATCTAGAATGTCCATCACAGATGTCGGACCTATTCTTCGTTCATCAACATGGCTCCATGCAAGGGCTCTTCCTGATAGCGATATTAGTTGGCGTGGAATCAGACTGACCACTGGTCGAAACCATGGCTCTCAGCCTTTTTTAGGACTCCCTAGGGCCAGTCGCTGCGGCTATATCGCTGCCTCGCAAGAATGGTGCTGGGTCTGGTGGTGGTCCACCATCTTACGGGCGTTGTTACTTTGTTTATTATTCTCTTTCTGTCTTTCTCAAAGAAATTAAATGGTCTCTTCCCGTTATCACACTTGCAGAGTTTAAGAGGGAAGAAGACCCAGACTATAGTCCTGAGATGGTCATTGTTCTGACCAAGGACCATTTTTAAAGGGTGCTTGAGATGAGTAACAAATTCCATAAGTATATCATGAGCATCCAGTGGGAGGATGAGAGGCGACGGGCACAAGGTTGGGGGGATTGCAATGACTATGATTGGTGTGATGCTCCATTGACTTGACTCACCATGTTGCGACAGGGGATGAATCTGGGATGGTGAAACAGCAAAGGAAAACATCTGTTGCTAGGTCGGCGGCCAATAAGAAGCCTGTATCCAGTAGATTTGTGAACTTTTACATTCGGCAGCAGATGTGTTATGTAAATCTAAGGTAGGTAGCTCAAACACGAAGGATGGAATGGCCTCTTGCCTGATAATCTCCCCAAGTCCCCAACCATGCAGCCATGCGAGAACGGGTGACGATCACGTGATGCTTCCCCATTCAACCCACCAGTACAGAGTTGCTCACCAGTATAACGCGCTGCTGTTGCGTCTGCTTCTAAATATCTGTCCCCCCTTTTGTTTTTTGTCGCTGAGATAGGTAGGTCTTGCTAAGCGGTTGACTTTTGTTACCCCCAGATTTAGCTGATGTGAAATTATAGAATAGAATTGCTGCACTGAGCTGTACTCTTATTTGGTCAGGTGTCTATATTATCCGCCAGCTTACAACAGAAAGTAATTCACTATGTCAACAATGCACCCCCTGAACTGACCTCGACAGTATCATCTATTACAGTTGATGCGCAGATAAGGATAGCGTCCTGTTATTCCAACTCTCTTCACTACTCTGTGGACATAGCTAGCCAGAGTGTTCCCTCTGCCTCCACACTATGCGAAACCCGCGAAATGTTTCTGTAAATGGCTGGACACGGCCACCGCCTGTCAAAAATATATGTCAAAACTGAAATCTTCTCTCCACATATAAGAGGCACTTACATTCTGACCAGCCATCATTGTAAAATGGTTTCCAGAAACAGGGACTGTGGAAATGTGCTGCGCTGGTAGTACAGTCTCCCAACCGTGAGGGCCGAAATCACTTCTATTATCCAATATCCAGGACTCCGTTGAATTTGACGACTGCGAAACGTTGGAATCACCGCTGACCCCCTCTCGGGCCCAAATGATCAAAGTTTCTAGCGTGTCTACGAGTGGAATGATCGGCCTCGGCTTGTACAATGCCAGATTGGCAACCGTCGAATCGAAGTGCTTCAGGAGACTTTGCCGCTTCTCTCCAGCTTTTGGCGCGAAGGTACCATGGGATTGGCCGAAGACTCCTTTTGAGGCCAAGTAATCGATCAGAGAGGAACTCATCGGAGGGAGGACGGCCGGGCAAGGGGCATCAATCAGGATCAGTGACTGAACCTTCTGCTTGGCCTCAATCAACTGCCTTGATGCTTCATATGCCAAGACGCCACCGACAGACCACCCTCCGAAATGGTACGGCCCATGAGGTTGTTGGTCTCTAATGGCCGAGAGATAGATTTTCACTGTTGCTTCGATGCCGCCAGTATAGTCATCGGGGGAGTCGATAAATGGGCAAACGAGTCCGTACACGTCAAAGTCTGGGCTGATGGGCCCCAACGCCGCATACGAGAATGGGGACCCTGAGCCGTCAGGAAAGAGGAAAATGTTGCCAGTACTCGTGGGATTGGAGCGCTTTTGAAGGAGGACCACTCTGGCCCGGAAGCTCATATCCGCCTGGTTGTGATTAGAGGCGGGCAGTTTCTGGTCTCCTTTTTCGACTTTCTCAATGCCCTGCAACTGCGGCGTTACGAACCCCGATGCCCTGGGTAGAGCTCTGAACACTTCATTCATTGTATTGTTCTCTAGAAAGAAGTTCGTTGGCAGCTCAACTCCTACCTCTTGGAGTCTTGCAAGGATTGCAAGACTCATCAAGGAATCAACCCCAAGTGCGCTTAGATCGGCAGATGATTCAAGATCTTCTGTGGGGATGCCGGTTTCATCCGCAATGATGGACCTCACTAACTCTGCAGTATCTGAAATGGCACTATCAGGAGTGAAAGTCTCCACCATCGCGGACGACTGCGAAGAGTCTGAAGCCTCATAAGAGCTGCCACTGTCTTGGCTACTCTCCACTGAAGAGTTGGTCAGGGGACTGGTGGTTCCACCCTGCTTCTGGTCCAGCATGGCCAGGAGCTCACTAATTGTAGTGCAGTCCATCAATTCGCTGTGGGGAATCGTAATGGCAAGTTGTTCGGTAAGATTGCTGGCCAAGGTCAGCGACATCAAAGAATCGACACCCAAATCGGATAGTCGATCATGCGGAGAAATGTCTGAAACTTCCAGTCCGAGCTCGGCAGAAATGATATCGAGGGAAGTACCTGGTCGCAAGGATACGGCGGCCAACTGAGTCTCTGAAGACGGGACTGGTCTCTTTGGTAGAGGCTTGTGTGGAACAGCTTTGGGTAATTGCCTCTCTGCCGTCCTTTTGATGCCAACTGGAGGTAGAAGCATGTCTAGGACTGTGCGGGGAACTCGCTGGAAACGGAGATCTTCTGCCAGACCAACGACCTCTCCATCGCAGAGGATCCACACATTTCCTCCGACCATTGTCTTATCCCTGGGAAGCATCCTCACATATGCCTGGTAATGGCCTTTCGGATTCAAAGGCTTGGCAAATCGCAGACTCTCCCACCCATGGGAGATATAGACCGCTTCATTGTAGTTAAGAGTGTCATTTCCATTCATGACGAAGCCGGAGAGATGTAGCAAAGCGTCAATCCAATAGGGGCTGTAGACGAAAGTCGCATCGTCGCCGCGATCATCTAGCTTTACTGTTGCTGTGGCCTCGAACAGGTTGCTCGCAAGCAGGACCTGGTCCATCCGCTGGTACTGGGGCGCATAGTCCACCAAACTCGCAAAAAGTCGGTACGCCAGGCGACTCGTCATCTTGCTGACCTCTCCGGAGTCCGTGAGCTTCTGTAACGCGGCAACGCGGTCTTGGATCAGATATAGATCGTGTGACCAACGCCTCAGCCACTTCTCAGGAGATCCAAATTCGATGCAGCAGGTCGCGTGTTTCGTTTCCGCTTTTTGGCCAGGAGATGCTGAGACGTACTCAACCTTGATGATTTGCGAGTGTCGATCGACACGCGCGTATATGCGCAACACCCTGGTTTCTTCTTCTCTCGAGGATTTGACGATCAGCGGCTGTTGGACCTCCATCGCAGTGATATTGTGCCCGGACGAGGAGAATCCAGATTCCGGCTTCTGTTGTATGTGCCGGGCAACGGTCAAAGCCACATCAGCGTACATGGACTGCGAGCGAGAAATTAGCAAGGCTTGTCTCAGTTAAACAGATACATATCCTTTGCAATCTACTTACAGAAGGGCAAAGAGCCGAACCGTTGACGCGATGGCCACTGATAGCGGCATGGATTTCGGGGGCTGACAGATCCGTTTCAAACACGGCGATCGCGTTGGCTCCTTTGTAGTTCTCTTCCACAACGCGATGAACAGAGCTTGACAGCTTCGGCACTGGCTTGTCCTCGTCGCCGTTGCTGACAGCCAGCCACGGGTCGCCTTTGCGCAGTGTCCAATCATTTCGGTATTCAACCCAGTAGTTCTTATTTTCGAAGGAATAAGCCGGGAGGGTCAGCAGGCGACAAGCCCCTTCGATATCCCGATGGTACTCGGACCAGTTAATGCTGAAACCCATATCATGGAGCGAAGTGAGACTTCCAACAATGACTTTCCATGGATTCTCCTTACGTCTCAATGTAGGGAGTGTCTGCGTTGAATCTCCTAGATTGGATCGTACCATCCCCGAGCAGATTGGATGAGGACCAATCTCAATGAAAATGGTTGACTCTTGAACCAGCCCAACTTCTCTGGCATTGCGCACTGCACTTGAAAATTGGACCGCCTGGCGACAGTGCTGTCGCAGATACTGGGCATCGATATGTTCCCCAGGACCCAAAACCCGGCCCTTTAGGGAGCTAATGAAGGGGCAGTGTGGTGTTCCCATATTCACAACTTTGGCAACCTCTTCAAGATCATGCAAAATTGGATCAACCTGTGCAGAATGAAAGGCGTAGGGCACTTGGAGTTTGGTTGACCGGATATTCTTTGCAGTCAAGTATGCCTCTAACTCATCGATGGCAGCCTTTTCGCCCGAGAAGACAGTTTCACGAGGGCTATTGACACAGGCGATTTCCACTCGTGAGGAAACCTCGGCCGGAACGACCTGAAGAACGGAAGTCGAGTCTGCCACTGCAAGCATGGCATGTGAATGCATCTCACACTTGCTCTCCAACAAGCGAGCTCTGTATCCCACCAGGTAGATAGTATCACTTATGGACAGCACTCCGCTAACTTGGAGGGCTGCATATTCTCCCAAGCTATGGCCCACTACTGCGTCTGGTTTGATACCTAGAGAATTCCACAGACGAGCCAAGGCTACTTGGATGCAAACTAGACCGATTTGTGTCTGTATGGGAGAAAGCAAGTCTAGGTCAACCGTGGTGCCATCAATGATGGATAGAAACGAAGGGAATCCTTGCTGGCGAGCAATGCCATCGAAATGGTCGATATCCGCCCTGAACTGAGACGACATAGTGTATAACTCACGAGCAAGGGCCGGGTATGCGGCACCTTGCCCAGTGAAAACGAAAACAACTGGTCTTGGGACCGGTGGTGTGCTGAGGCTGGGTATAACTGAGTGTTTCTTCTGCTCTAGAGCAACGCGCAATTGCTGTGTGGAGCTCTCCGCGACACTAACCCGAAAACCATGATGCCTGCGACGGGCAGTAGTCGTGTAGGAGAGGTCCACTGGCGATGTGTTCGGGTTTGCAGACAGATATGCAATCAGTTTGTCTAGGTTATTGGACAGCGCTGCTTTCGTGTGCCCTGAGACTGTGACTGGATGGAGTGGTCGAGGTTCGATGCCGTGCTGGACAACTGGAGTGGGCGCCTCTTGGATCAAGAGGGCCGTGTTGCCACCCTGGGGTAATTCGTTAGCTCTCGATAATTAGCGCAAAAGGCCTGGCGAGATGGAAAACCAACAGCTGCGCTAAAATTGTTCACAAGAATGCTCCTCTTCTTCCCCGGTTTACCCTGAAATGGCGTCATCTTCAACGGAATTCGAACACTAAGTCAGGTCAGCTGCAGTTCCAACTCGGGGGAATCGACACCGTTTACTTTCGCGCGTTCAGATCGGGGAATCCGCGGTTGATGGCGTTTTTGATACCGATGTGAGGAGGGATAGCAGAGTGTTTGAAGATCAGAATGGCTTTGATCAAGGATGCCACACCGGACGACTGTTTATCTCATTAATCCATTGTATACCACGGCCCGCTATGGGTGAGGAAGACGTACAGCTTCACCATGACCAATATTCGCCTAGATTGGTCAGTAACCAGCACTCGGAACGCTAGGGGCTAGGTTGGCCTTCTCGTACCTTGACTGCACCAACATACAGAGGATTGTCGTCAGCTCGACTTGGGCGCTCGGGTCCAAAGACATCCACAACGGAGCGCATCTCTGTGCCATCTCCCGCCTGCGTGCCTGTTCCGTGCATTTCGACATATCCGACGTCTAATGGATCAACGCCTGACTGACCGAGGACCTGGCGGTATAAATTGGACTGCGTTTCCGCGTGAGGGTGCGTGATGCTGATCGCATTCGCTGAGTGATTTGTTCCCGCCCCCAAGATGACTGCTAGGACGTTATCCCGATCTAATTCTGCATCTGTTAGCCTCTTTATCACTACGCTACCGATGCCGTCAGCACGGCAGTATCCATCGGCTCCGTCGTCGAATGTCTTGCATGATCCTGTCTTAGAGAGGAACTGGCCACGGCTTAGTCCAGAAAACAAGTCGGGCGAGGTTAGCACACTGAGGCCCCCTGCGACAGCAGTATCGCATTCACCATTGCGCAACGCTGTGCAAGCCAACTGGATGGCAGCAAGGCTTGATGAACAGGCCGTGTCGACGCTATAGCTCGGGCCACCGAATTTAAAGAAATAATTGATTCGACCCTGCGCAGCGATGTCAGCCCATACACGAATTTCGAACCCAGGAGGAGCTGTAGGGTACTAACCGGGCCAAAAGCACGTATTCCTCCGGTGATGAAATATGTTCCAATGTCTTGGGCCGCATTCACATCTCTGTAATCGTCGCTTGTTTGGCCGTAAAAGGTCCCAACGCGGCTGAGAGCCGTAGAGCGGGTACGATCAGGGACAAACCCGGACATTTCCAGGGCCTCGTAAGCAGTAACAAGGGCCAGACGCTGCATCGGATCCGTCTGAAGCGCTTCGCGTGGTGACATGTTGAAGAATCTCGGGTCGAACTCTCCCGGTCGATCGATGAAGCAGCCGTACGGAGTCCAGCTGGTGTTCTTGGCTTTACCGGTAGGGTCGACATGTTTCTCGACGTCGAACCGATCCTTTGGAATCTATCGCATATGTTAGAAGTCCATTTCACCTAGTCAACAAATGGCTACACTCGCTTACCACTCGGTGTAGATCCAGACCCGATTCCAGCAGGCTCCAGAGAGCTTCAGCGCTCTCGGCACCTGGAAACCGGCCAGACATGCCCACAATGGCCAAAGGAGCCTGACTGAAGGCGGCAGACGGTTTATACTGGTCGACACCAGGTTCTAAGACAACTAACTCCCGCGTGGAGATATTCGCCGATGTGCGATTACGCAGCGCTGCTGCCAGACTATCCGCCACAGGAGTTGGACCGACAGCTTCAATTCTGACGGAGGCTATTGTGTTTTCCCGGATCAGGGATGCACACCGGTCGACAATTAAATCTAGCCGTAGCGGTGCCTGCAGTGTGTGATGGACAACTGTTTTGAACAGATCCAAAGCGCTATTGGAGTCCACAGGCTCACCTGTCAGAGGGGAGAGAAGAGTCTTGATTGACTTGAAGCTGGATAAAAGATCGGCGTCGATGCCGCATCGAGACAAGAAACTAGGAAAATCCAGCACCGTATGGATATGGGAGGCGTGGTATCCTGCGAAAATCGGCAGCCAGATGATCTTCCTGGATGGCTGCGACGCCGTTAAGCTCTCTGCGAAGCGACTTAAAGCCGGGGGCGAACCGCTGATGGTTACACTCTTGAGCCCAACCGCGCTCACAAAACAGCGGTGGCGGAGTGATAGATGCCCTCCAGCGTCGTATATTTTCAGAGCCGACAGTGCCTCATCTTCGGTCATTTTAGGAATGGCGATGGACCAGCTGCCCAAAGAGTTCCCCTGCTCGTGTAGCATGCTGCTTGCCGTCGCTGCTTGCAGACCCATTTGGAACGCCATCGAGACCGTCGGCACTGCTAAGAGCTTCAGGTCATCCAGTGAGGCTGATGTAGCGTAGGCCGCTGCAACAAGCGATCCGGTGCACAACCCGACTACTGCGATGTGCTCATTATTTTCTGGTCGACGACCTCTTCCCTCGAAGTATCTGGTATAGTACAAAATGCGTCATTAGGGCGTGTTACAGCAAATGGGCCGCTGACGGATTGGTGAACTCCTACCGAAAGATTTGCAGCAGCTGAGTAACGCATAACAGCGCACTGCTGATTGACGGATGACATACTCCATTGCTCTTCTCGTAGATCCTAGCTAAATCATGGATGCTTTTGAAGCCAGGGAGGTGTTCTCGTTGAAAGGGTCGAAGTCGATCAGATTGAGCTCTCAGCGCCGCGCTTGCGTCGCGAATAAACTCACTCTGGGCGACACTATGGGGCGCGCTGAGCAATAGTTTCTTGAGCAACGCGGATACATTGTTCGTCTGATCTCCCAAGACAACTAGATTCAGGCGTTCAACCTGGAGTGGGCGATGCATTGTGTGGAATGTGTAAAGCTTCTGTTGAACATGCGTTGAGGCATGTATTGTTTTCGACGCTGTGTATTCGATCTAACCGGCCAGCGGGAAAGGTTGGCTTAATACAAAGGCAGCCGATATGTATTTGCGGAATACGATATATTGCACGTTCTTGCAGAAACTGGCTTGGCTGATCTCAACCATCATCTTCTTCGGAACTTTACTCTCATTTCCATGGCAGTCCACGATACGCGGAGGGACACCGATGGCGCACGGCGGTTTGGAACGACCTCGAGTGCAACCTGAACTCTACTGTGAATCTTGCATGTGCGCCCAATTCGCCGGAGGATTAATAAGTGATGAGATCGGACACCGTCATTGGTTCGGAGGATCATGCGCCAGACACATGGCTGCCAGAACCACATGGCTCGGAGATCATCTACCTCGTGTCCGGGGGGTTACTGCATGCATAACCGAATGCACTTCCGTTGGACTGCAGCGGAGGGGAACTTCTAAGTCCTGCCGATCAATCCAAAGGGGCTTCGCTGCTCACCTGGGACTGACCATCCGAGGGCAATACTCACGCCAAGAACAGGAGGATCATACCCAACAGAATGTCATACCCGCCCTGGTCCGTCGCTTCCTTGATTCACCTGACACTAGAAAACTGCTATACACTGAGGGTTTGGTCCCTGTGCTGCCCAGCTTCGGAGGATGTACTTATTGTAGCAGCTGCTACCATTCAGCCGCTGTTGCTTTTGAAGCAAAAAGCTAGAGCCGTTGAGTTACTTTAGGGAGGAGTGTTAGTTTCTAGCTGAATGATGGGGTTAATGTAAAGAGCATCGGGAGAGTATCATTAGTTTCGCAGGAGACGCGATTCTAACTCCCATCTAGTAGATCTGAAGCTCTCTGAATAACACCAATTTTACTCTCAACCATACTAGTATTTGATCAAGTATCTGCGCAGTGTTTATGAGTTACATTAGAGACTTCCCTTGCCACATCATTGCTGCTCTTAAAGAATATATTCATTGACCGGATACCTTCATATAAATATTCGTTCGTAGTGAAATCTGGAGAGCTGTAGAGTGAGATGCAGCTGCTAACGCGCGCGAAACAGCACCCGTGCCGTCTGGTTGGGTTGACGAGATCGGTCGTACCAGGTCGGTTTGGGAAGCCCTGTAGGATCTTCCAGCCGGATCTCATAGTGCAAGAGGGTGTGAGCAAGGAGCAGTTTGATTTCTTGAGCTGCAAAAAATCGCCCGGGACAGGCATCCTTCCCATGGCCGAAGTTGATATGTGTCGGGGAGGTGGTCACGAACTGGTACCGGTTCTCGTCCCCCGGCTGCTCTCGAAGACGAGACCATCGGAAAGCGTCAAATTTCGAGGCTTCAGGATATATTGTATCATCAAGGTACATGGCATGCATCGGAACTAGGACGTATGAGCCTTTGGGAACAGTGGTGCCGTCCGAGAATGTGAAGTCCTTGGTGACGGCTCGGGTCATTTGGGCTGTAGGCTATGACTTTAGTAATCACCCTTTTAGGTGCAATTTGATAACACTTACAACTCGCGATAGGAGCCAATCTTTGACTTTCTAGCATAAAGCTGTCCAATTTGCGCATCCGGCTCAATGATCGAGCGGTCCATCCATCCGTTTGCACGGCGCTTTCGATCTCTGCTCGCAGCTCCGAATGGATGTCCGTATGCAATGCGAGATCATAAACGCAGTTCAGAAAGGTGACGCTGGTTGTATGCACCGCCGCAACGTTCAGATGAAGCAAGCGATACATCAGCCGCTCCGGGTCTCGTTCTTGGTCGTTTGGTGCGGCATCAATTACCCACTGAAGTGAGTCTACCGGTTTGCTTTTGGGGGATGTGTGTTGTAGCTTCTCGACCTCCTCCAGTCGAGCCTTGATATACGGTATGAGATGCTTGCGAGCTACCTTCTGCCGTTCCCTGACATTGGTGACGAAGTATGTTACCGTTGACTTGAGGAAGTCTGGCCAGGCACGCAGCTTATCTGCACCGCCGAACACATCTATCGTGTACCTGATGGACATCTGAAGATACTCCTCATTGCGACACAGTGGTACACCCACAAGAAGTCTGTTGGCCGTACGTGTCGCGATTCGATGAGCAGCACGAGCCATAACAACCGGTTTCCAGTCTGCAAAGTAGCATATCAGTGGTGCGTAATGCGAGAGCCTGTCGGAAGAATTACCGGCTGGAGTTCCTATTTCCTGATGAAATACTAGACTAATCTCATCCAGTAGATCGTTGACCTTGAGCTCTAGGCTTGGAGTTAGGTTGGTCTTGATAATATGGAAATGGAACTTGTTTGCTTCGACGATGGGAGAAACCGTGTATTTTGCTTGTTGTACCTATTATGGGACTATCAGAATCGATCTGACTCTTTTGAATGGCCAGTCTTCAACTCACGTCGTTGGCTGCTTCCTTAGCGCTGAGATGTGTTGGTGGTGCTGTTCGTATCTCGTCCACGAACTTTGGCGGAATGACAATCACCCATCGAACAGGAGTTCGAAGTTGGTAGAAGTGGCCATATCTTGAGAACTAGGTTCTGAATCAGCTCGGCAGCCTAGGTGTGACAGCGCATTGCATCTCTCACTTTTTCGTACCCGGCTTTCAGAACACCAGGGCTGTCTCTGAGATAGTCCAGAGAGTCGTACCAGCTTCCAAACCAGCCCGAATGTGTGCTATAGACAGGCAATCTGGCACGTTTAGGGCTCAAGGCAAGTTTATAATAGAGAGAAACAAAGCCTAGAGTTCCAAGGAGGAGAGCCCAGTTAAAACTTCCAGGACCAAGCAGAATCAGCTCGTTGAGGACCGCCATCTCTATTTTCAGATCGGACAGCTTGGAATTCACTTGACAGAGCCGTTAGGTCATCTGCTGACGGCGTCGCTAGTTGTGGATGTCTTTTTATCTATTTCTCTCAGACGCTTCTCTACATCTCGCAATTCAGGGTGAATTATACGCAAAATCCATGAACTACCTCGCTCGTATGAACCTGAACAAACTATTGGCTATTTGGCATCGCCGAGTTGAATCAAACCTTCTCGGAGGTTTTGGCGCCTTACGATCATCCAAGCGCCGACGGAAATACGACCAACACGCCGCACTCATATATTATACCTCGATTTCGGCCATTCGCTTGGTATAAGGGACAACGAAGCATTCAGTCTGCTCGCTTTCGAATCATCATGTCAGATCCCACCGTGTTGCTGAACCTTGCGGCCACCATCTCCAACGCCGCACTCACGATCACCCGCCATAACCTGGCAGCATCCGCTCCTGCTCCATCATTTGTAGTTGAGAGCTCGAGCAATGGGCCTGTCAATGGTAACGGAGTGGCCAGGGCAAAAGACGGTAAAAGCGAACTCGCCCAAACTGAGGCCCTTGATGCCACAGCCTCCCTTATTCAAGCGTCAACGGACCTCCAGATTCTCGTGTCCGGACCAGAAAACTATCTAAAGAGCTTATCATACGCTGTACGTCTATTTTAAACAGTGATCGAGACATCGTAGCTGACATGGAATGGAATGTATCTAGTACCACGACATCACTGCCTTGGCTGTCGTAATTGAGTTCGACCTCGCACGCAAGGTGCCCCTCGAATCCTCCGTCTCCTTCAAAGAGCTTTCTATTAGCAGCGGTTGCCCACTGGGCCGATTGGAGCGTGTGCTGCGCCTTCTCTTCGTGCGTCGAATCTTTTATGAACCTCGTCCGGGATACGTCGGTCATACCGTCGTGTCTCAACGAATGGTGATCAACCCAGAGTTGACTGCGTTCCTGGGCCACTGCACCCATGAAGCCTTTCCGGCCGCCTCAAGACTAGTTGACTCTCTGCGTAAATACCCTTCTTCGGAAGAGCCTAATCAAACAGGTTTTAATATAGCGTTTAACACGGTCGATCCGTTGTTTACTTTCCTGTCAAAGGATCCCGAACGCTTCGATCGTTTTAATCGTGGCATGGCCGGTCTGAGCAAGAGTGGTGGCCGGTCAGCGCAACAGGTTGTTGAGGGATTTCCCTGGGACTCCCTTGGTGCCGCCACGGTCATTGATGTGAGATTTCCAATACTGGATTACGTTAGGAGGTACTGACTGAGGACAGGTTGGAGGTGGTAATGGACACGTTTCTGTGGCTTTGGCCGAGCACTACCCGCAGCTCTCGTTCGTTGTCCAGGACCTCGAGGCTGCAATTGTGTCAGGGACCGAATCCCTCCCGTCTGCTTTAAAGGGTCGGGTGCAGTTTGAGGTCCACGACATGTTCCAGCCTCAGACACGCAAGGGCGTTGATGTCTTTTATCTGCGCCACATTCTCCACGACTGGCCCGATCATTATGCAGTGAGAATCCTCCAGAATCTCGTGCCCGCGATGAAGCCAGATTCTCGTGTAATCATCTCGGACTCAGTTATCCCGCCACCAGAGCAACTCCATGGGTTACATGAGAAGCTAGTCCGGTATGCTTGCCGTGTTCTTCATCCCAACGGGCAAGAAGCTAACTGTCCACAGGTACCTCGACATGCAAATGATGGTCTTGCACAATGCGCGGGAGCGCACCGAAGAGGACTTTGCCGATCTTCTTGCTCGAGCTGACCCTCGTCTGAAGATCAAAAATGTATGGCGGAAGGGACCGGACGCAGCGGCTAGTACGATGGTTGAGGCTGTGCTTGTAGGGTAGTTTATACGCATTATTGTCCAATTGATAGGAGAAGGAATGATTTGGTTTGGTATATTTCGCTTCTTTGCTTTACGTAGTGCGGAGGTATTTGAGCGTGGACCTGCGGCTTGTGCGCAAGCAAGTTCAAGTCGAACCGAAGTGACTTATCACAACAGATGGTTCTTACCCCAGTCTTGGGGATTATGTTCGCTCAAGCCCCTTGTTACATGCTCCAAGCAGTACATTCGCATACCATGTTTCAAAGGGGGGGTTTCCAATAATTTTGGTTGTATAAATTAGAGCGCGGGTTCATTATAGTCACTGAGTTGAGGATGCTG